GGGGTTTGGAAAATCAGGACAAACTCGGACATAGGAGGGGAGGGGGGGGATTTAGCAATCCGGATGTCCGAAATTTTAAAAAATTCAAAAACAAATTTCTTTTTCCCTCTATTTTGAGCAGTCCTTCTCATTGTGAAATTGGCATTTTGACTCTGCGGTTAACACTAGATTTTGTTTTAATTAGTAATTTATATGTTTTTGTGTTCACATTTACAGTTATAAAAAAGTTCTAAAAGTAAAAAAGTTTTTTACTCTTGATATATACAAGGTTGCGTGAGTTTTTGCGAGGCATGGCGGATGTCCGGGGGGTCACTAATTCGGACAATGCCGGACAAGGGGGGGAGGGGGGGTCTGAAAATCCATCATTTGGCCGGACATCCTTTGTGAATGGCCCCTTAGTGCATGGATAATAAAATAAATGGATAGGACTCTCGCTGACGTAAGCAAAACAACCTAGTTGCAATCTGTGACGTCACGCATATTGCAAAGTTCTCTGCATTTTTGTTGTCTCGCTATATTTTCCGCCTTAAAAGAGTAATATTGAAGCATAAACTGGTCTAATTGTTTTAAAAACATGCCTAAGCCACGACAAAGTATTCAAGGTAAATGTTTTTCGTCTTTGTTTTGTATTTTTTTACATTTGTAGCTACAAAATTGGCGTCCCCGATTTTAACGAAATTTGGGATGCCTTTTTCACTGTTTAGTGCTTGAAATATTTGCTAAAATTGACTGGGAATACTTAGAGATTTCATCGTAGAATGGCGTAGTTCTATTCATTTGTTCTTTGGCTAAAATGTTTAGCTGTATTATTGCTAAACATGCTGTTTTTGAGAATTTGGTTTGCAACTAGGTTTCAACATCCAATCACGCCATCAGCCCATTGAAAACATTAGGTCACGGTCAGCTTGTTTCCTATCCATTTATTTTATTATCCATGGTTAGTGTATAATATTATATATTCTTGGATCCTTTTAGAGGCAGTTAGTGTATAGTATTTTAATATTTTCTTAACTTGTAAATATAAGCGCAATTCAGCTATTTGCTGCAATGTTTTTATGAAATAAACCATCTATCTTTCTATCTACAGGGTGTATGAGAAAAAGTAGACAATCTTGAAACGGCTCTCAATTTCACAAATCTGTTCATGTCATGAAATTTTTGATAAATATAGATTGTTTGGGTACTTATGAGTTATGTAGAATAAACAAAGCAATTTCGTAAAGATAAATTTTCCACAGGGGGTGTCTTTTTTAGCAGCATTAAAAATAGCTTGCGCACGAAATTTAATGTCGCGCGCAAAAACTATTAAACTTTTGAATTTCGCACGGATGTGAACGAGTGGATATGAATGTTGAGATGAGGGTACATATACTCACAACATTCATAACTCATCTACTCATTCACATCCATCAGAAAACCACAGAATCTAATCTTGAAGTGTCTGTATCAGTGTAGGTAGTGGCAATAATATGAACAAGCTTTCGTTGCTAGGGATGCAACTACCTGAAAAATATAAGGAGAATTTCGACGTTTCCAGCGAAGGTCCTTGGTCTGGAGTTACTAGCCAAACTTCCGACGTAGTGCCTTCGCTCGAAACGTCGAAATTCTCCTTATATTTTTCACGTAGTTTCATCCCTATCATGAACGAAAGCTTGTTTACAGAATCTAATCGCTCTTTAACCAATGAGGTCAATTCCACGTTTTTAATTCATTCAGATACAATTTAATTCTCAGATGGTAGTTTTATAATACTTCTAAACGCTTTTCTGTTATACTGGTAAGTGGTAACATTCCCTGATATGACCATGTATGCACGAATTCTACGCAATGAATCAATTATTGAGTCTTCGCTCAAAACGTCGAAGTTCTCCTTGTATTTTTCAGGTAGTTGTATTTCTATCAACCCAAGTTTTGTTATTATTGCCACAACCTACACTGGCAAAGACTGTTCAAAATAATATATGCATCCTTGCACGTCCCTAACATACTTACTTTGTGAAATGAATAAATGTTTGGAGCAATGGTGTTGTTTTTTATGAATCTAGAACTATGAATTGAATTTTTGGTGGCTGTTTTTGCATTATTAATATGGCATTGCTTCTGTATAGTTTTCCTTGGTTGTGTGGAGCGTATGGGCTGGTTGGTCGAAACAAAAAGATCTCTCGTCCACATTTGTACCTCACAGTTAAAAGAGGAGTGATGATATCGTTTGTACGACGTGAACTTGAAGAGAAATTCAAGTGTGACGACGCTAAGGAACACTTTGAACTCCTTCGAGAACCTGAAAGAAAACCAAAAATTAAATATTTGGGTCTCCTTTTAAGTAAATTGAGATGTAAATCATCTTCTGTCTCACCGACACCTGGTGGTGTTGTATTAGCTTGCAGTAACCCCAGTTATACCAATAAAAACCCTTTACGAGTACCTGAAGAAAACTAGAAAGTTGGTGTACCTCAGGTCCAGGGAACTGGGACTTTAACCATGTTTTGTGCCCTCAATGGACAACATTATGCACTCACCTGCTTTCATGTTGGTTGTGCAACTGATGAAAACCGTTTAAACGCCGCATTCAATAAAGTAGAAGATGTTCAGAAGATGCGCAATTCACTTCCAGCTTATGAAAGTTATGCAAAGAAACAGCAATATCATTTTACACAAGGTAATACAGAGAACGACAATGAGCCCATCTTATTTGGAGACGATGGAACGGACTGCACGCGTCTTGGTAGTTTTGACAATTATCATTTTGACAACGAATGTGACATTTTGTCTCTAAAAGTTTCGGATGGCATTGACATTGATTGCAAAATAGCGGATGCATTTTCTCCTGATTGGCAGGGGCGGCGGAACAGGGGGGCTAAAGCCCCCCCAGAAGTAAAAGTGGGGGGGCTTAGCCCCCCAGAAAATTTGAATTTTTGGAAAAAATTTTGATAATTAGGGAAAAATTTAGGTTATTTTTTGAAAATTTAGGTATAAGGGGACAAATTTGCAATATTTTGTTTAAAAAAGTGTATTTCCGAAAACATTTTTTGATATAAGTCCGAAAAAATTTTTTTCGTCCCTTTTTTTGTATATTGTACCCCTAAAGTGGTACACTGACCGAAATTTTTTTGGCGACGGGGGGCGGGGGGGAGAGGGGGAGGTCGCCGAAAAAATTTAGCTCCCCCAGAACGAAATCTGTTCCGCCGCCGCTGATATCCAGCTATATCATCAGGCAATAAACACATGAATGGGAATGGATTTTCTGGGCTTTATTCCCCCAAGACAAAGTACTTAAGTACATGTCCCAAGTACACACTTTTCAATTTACAAGGACACATTTTCCTTTTACAAGGACACAAAGTGTGTCAAAAACGGTGGCAGACGTTTGGCCGACAGACATTTAGCCGAAAGGACATTTGGCTGACAAGACATTAGGCCGACAGGACAATTTGGCCGACAGGAGAATTCACCGACATTTCAATTATTTGAAAACAACGTCTTGAAATAACATTTATTGTAAATTTGACGCATGTGCAATAGCACATATATAGTTTAAAAAGCCGTCGGTATTTAAGTCCAAATCGCTCACATTGTGGGTAAATTTTCTTCAATCGGCCGACGGAAAATCCAGCAGAGACTAGAGAGTTGCTTCAATAAAAGTTTGTTATTTACTTGTTCCTATATATAGGGAAATCACAAGAACAAAATAACAATACGTACCTATGGCTATGAGTATTAGTCATCCTTTTGACCAACAAATGAATGATCGTTTTGTTTTCATAGTGCCTTGGGACAATGTAACCGTGAAACAATAGATCCACGAGTCATTAATTTGACTAATATTCTGATTAATTTGTATGAGTCATCCAATGAGTCACATTAGCATTATTTTAGAAAATAAACTTAAAAGAAAATATCTTATCGGTGAGTTGTCATGTCGGCCTAATGTCCTGTCGGACAAATGTCTTGTCGGTCAAAGGTCCTGTCAGTCTAGTGTTTGTCGGCCAAATGTCTGTCGGCCAAACGTCCGGGCACAGCCAAAAACACGCTTATTTTAATGGCTGGTCTCTGGGCTGAGAATTAACTCTTTTAACACGATCAAGGTATTATATTTAAAACAAACGTAACGCAAAGCCAACGGAACGGCAAAGACAACACTAAAATGTAATATTGTCGATGGATTGCTGGTAAAAGACTTTCAACAGGATCACTCTTAAATAATATTAAACTAAAATAATAAATGTTCACGTCAAAGACAAAGATCAGTGCCAAAGTATAAAATCGGCTCTGTAAACATACGACGAAGTGGAGAAATGTGTGCACGAGCTGTTTATTTGGTGATTTCTGCGTATATGAAACATTGAAAGCCCTCTTTCCAATAATACTCGCTAATCGTACAGAATAACACCAACTGATATAATAGTTCAAATGCACTGATAAGTTACCTCGATCTATCCCTTGAATTACGTCTCAAAAGCTGTGTTGGGAATTTAAATGCTGACCCATTACATAACATTTATACCGCGTTTTACATCGTTGTATAAAACATTTTGATCGCATGTAAGAAATTATTTCTCAGCGCAGAGACATTAGCATTAGCGTCCTTGTAATTTTATAGAAATAGAACCAGAACTGAGTATTTTAGAAAGCTTTATCTGTACCTTCCCAAAGTTGTAGACAAGATATGTTGTTTATGCATAACATTACATAACTCAAAATTATTCGAGCAAAACCGTTCTTTTGTTAAAAGAAAGACTGGTTAATAGAAATTGGTCCTTTTGAGTGAGATACACGTTTGTCGTCATCGATCAGTGTCGCTGAACAATGAAAAAAGTTGTCGTGAAATTTGTAGTGAAGTCTACGGAGCGGGAACTGTTCGGATTTGAACTCAGCGTGTTCGAAAGTGTTAGTTCCCGTAAAAATTCAGTTCCAAGACATGGCAAATGAAAGTATTTCGCGTTAGTATTTCGGAATAATATTTCGGCAAAGAAAATTGAAGTTATTTCAAGGGAATCCTTTGAAGTTGGAGAGTACGTGCTTACAAGTAACCCTTGCCAAGAATACGCGATGGCGAATGCGATTAGCTGTTGTGTATAGACCTCCTTCTTCGTGTGTGAATACATTTCTTAATAAATTTGCTACTTATGTGGAATCACTAATAATGTGTTTGGAGCCTATATTAATCACTGGCGACTTCAATTTCCATGTCGATAATTCTATGGATCTCCATGCTTCAGCATTTTTAGATCTATACTTGATTCTTTGAATCTTGAGCAGCATGTACATTCGGTCGCGCAGGTAACTGGTCACACGCTGGATCTGATTATTACACGTAAGATGGATAACATTATTGAATGTTTGCCTGTGTCTGATTGTTTTTTGTCTGACCATTCCACTGTTTTATGTGATCTAAATGTGGTTAGGCCTACTGTAGCTATCTCAGGAAGACGATGTCATATCGTAAACTCAAGGGTATAAATATGCAATTATTTAAAGAAGACAGGAAGACAAGAAGTTTGTCTGACTTATGCCAGCAACTTTCTGAAGAACTTGATGACCTAACTCATTGTTATAATACCACACTAAAGAGAATTATTGACACACTTGCACCCCTTCGAGTTAGATCTGTAGTTGTTAGACCTTGGATTCCTTGGTTTCCTAATGGCATTCGTGAAGCAAAAAGGGAACGGCGCAAAAACTGAACGAAGATGGAGAACTACAAATCTTGATGTTTCAGCGACCTAAGAAGGCAAAGAATCGGGCGAATTATTTGGTGAACAGAGCAAGAAGTGAGTTCTATAGTAACTTAATTAGTGAGAACTCTGGTAATCAAAAGAAATTATTTTCAATTACAAGGAATATTTTCAATCCGAGCAACAAGATGGTTTTTCCACCTAACTGTAATATGGCAAGCTTTGTTGACGATATGGGAACATTCTTTATAAGGAAGATTACAAACCTACGTGGGGAATTAGCTCGTGTAGATGATTGTACACATAGCAATCTTGGTGACCCATGTGTATCATCATTTGAGAATTTTGAACCTTTGGAGATGGAAGCTGTGAAGCATCCTGTTTTAGAGTCAAAGACAAAATCTTGCTTCTTAGATCCTATCCCGACTAGCATGGTAAAGGAATGTTTGGATGAGTTGCTACCAGTACTAACATCTATTATTAATAACTGCTTGTCATCAGGAATATTTCCTAATGAATGGAAGGAGGCTTTAATAATTCCGTTACTGGAGAAGTTTGGCCTGGATTTAGCTTTCGGAAATTTTAGGCCTATTAGTAATTTATAATTTGTGTCAAAGTTGACCGAAAAAGCTGTTTTCAACCAAACACACTCCTATCTAGTTTCAAATGATTTGTTTCCTCTTTGTCAATCCAGTTATCGGAAATATCACAGTACAGAGACGGCGCTACTAAAAGTAAAGAATGATATTTTGATGAATATGAATAACCAAGAGGTTACATTACTTGTTTTATTGGATCTCAGTGCTGCCTTTCACACGGTCGACCACAGTATTCTTCTTAAGCGACTACAGGCGGACTTTGGAATCTCTGGAACAGTACTTTCTTGGTTTTCTTCCTATCTTTCAGGCAGGTCTCAAAAAGTTGTAATTGATGGTGTCTGCTTTAAAAATTTTGATCTGAGTTTTGGTGGCCCACAGGGATCATGTTTGGGACCACTGCTTTTCATCCTATATACAAGTAAGTTGTTCAAAATTATCGAATCTCATTTACCTAACGCGCATTGTTTTGCTGACGATACTCAACTGTATTTATCCTTTAAACCTGGAACTATGTTGGATGAAGCCAATGCTGTTCGAGCAAAGGAAGCTTGTATTGCTGAGGTACATCAGTGGATGCTCTCAAAAACTTAAGCTTAATCCTGAGAAAACCGAGTTTATGACCATTGGCACAAGGCAACAGCTGGAAAAGGTTAACATCGATTGTCTACAAGTGGGAGACAGGCAAATTATGCCATCTTCTGTGGCGAAAAACTTGGGATCTTGGTTTGATTCTAAATTAAACTTGTCACAGCATATTAACAAGACATGCATAGCTCTGCTTTCTTTCATCTTTATAACATCCGTAGAATACGAAAGTATTTAACTCGCCAGGATGTGGAGTGTTTGGTTCATGCACTTATTTCAAGTAAGATTGATTACTGCAATGGCCTGCTTTACGGAATTCCAGCCGTTCATATAACGAAACTCCAACGTGTTCAAAACAATGCTACAAGATTGGTCACCGGTATTTCACGATTCAGTCACATTACACCTGGCTTGGACGCCTTACACTGGTTGCCTGATGTTTACAGGATTCAGTTAAAAATTTTATTGTTAACTTTTAAATGCATACATGGACTAGCCCCGAAATATTTAATGGATCTTATTAACATTAGAAGGCATACTAGTTACAGTTTAAGATCATGTGGAAGTTTGACACTATTGC